CTCGGGGGTGGGGGCTGAAGGGGCAGCGGCTGAGCCGAGGCCGAGGGCGGTGCCGGGGGCGGTGCTCGGTGTCCCGGCGTTGCCGTGTCCCGGTGTCGCTCGGCGCCGCCGGGAGCGCCGGGAGCCGCGGCTCCGTCCCGTCCGCCGGGTGCAGAGCGCGCAGAGAACGGCGCTGCCGCCTCGGGTAAAGTATCCAAACTAATTCTCACAGCCTTTACTTAGTGTTCGTGGTGTTTGTTACTGCGTGCGCGGAGAAGTTTGCGGTCCCTGCTTTTTCCCAGCTCCTCGCAGGGAGCCCTTCAGAGCTGTCAGGTTGCAAGTTCTGGTGGAAACTTTGGGGTGGTGGTGGAGTAGTTTTAGCAGAGTTGGAACGGTAATTTTTTTTAAAATCAGAAGTAACTCGTATGTGGCAAATTTAAACTAGCAAAACAAGTTTTTACTGCCCTGGCTGAATTTGCCAGGTTTAATGTGTATATGAAGAATCATAAAAATAACTAAATGCTCATGCTCTTATAGTGTGCAAGCACGTCTCTTTTTTTCCGAGATGACAATCAATGACAGTTTTACTGGAATGATTCTAGACTCTCTAAACACAACTGTGAGAGCTTGTTTAACTGTGAGGGTGCTGAGGCACGGAGGGCAGGAAATCTGGCTCTCACATTAAATAGGTGAGGAATACTTTGCAAGAACTCCTTCATTCGTATCATGTATTCATGACACTGTTGCCTGTGCTTATTTGTTATAACATCGATGGGCTCTTTCCCCCTCAGTGCTGTGATTAGACTATTAGACTCAAAACCAGGTTTTCATACTGTGAGATGCCTGCTGCTATTTTGTCTCAGAGTTTTCCAGGATAATATTATTTTTTGAAAACAAAAGTAAGCACTTTCTAGGCAGAAAGCACAGTAGAGGAATATTACTTGTACAAGAATTAGAGGAATTCGTGGGTGATTTGACAGACCAGTCCATGATTCAGTGTCATACACTGAGTTCTATAAGTTCCTCGTTTCACAAACTGCTTTAAAGCTGGGAACTGCTTTCAAAGTTTACCTTTACCAAAGTTTACAGGTAAAAGCAGAGAGGCAACTGTGCCAATCCTGATAACTTAGGAACTCATGGAGTACTTCTGACATAGCAGTTAATTACATTTAGAATGTTGTATAATCTCAAGCTGTTCAGCACTGACCTGTGATGATTTTTCCAACAAATTACTATTTTAGGGAATCTGCTTAACCTGTGCTATTTCACTTCAGAAAGGGCAGTTGTGGGTTTTTTGGAGTAGGTTTTACCCAGTCCAGGTATGATTAACAGATGAAGTTGTGGCTATCATCCAGCACTCGGGAGTATGTTCTACATTATGTTGTTCAGTTGTGAATCTCTAACACTTTCTTTTCATTGTACAATATCTGTTTCTGAAGTATTTGTGGGCTTCTCTTCCCCATTTCATGTATCTTTTCTTCACTTTTCTCTGCACAGAAACATCTCAGGCTTTCTGCAGGCATACCTGCCTACACCATTTACTCCTAACTTTCAAACTTCAACTATTGTCTTAGGTCAGCCTACCACCCCCCTCGGATCAACAGTCCTGCTGAAGTCGGAGGAAACAGCAAATTTAAGCAACAGGAGGGGTTAGATGAGATGTCAGAAAAGTAGCCTCACCTTTAGCCTGACCTGCTGCACAACTGCAGGTAGCATTATTTTCTTTGCATGCCTATTTCATATTAAATGTTCTTTTAGCCATAAAAGGTATTTCTACAGATGAAAAGGCTGATGTAATAAGAGCTATGTGCCATCCCTTAAGTAAAGTGAGCAGTTAAGTACCAGAAGAGCTTTAGATAAATAGGAAAGAAATGTAAAATCACCAACAGCTTCCAAGTAAGTTAAAACCAGGGGAAAACACAATCAAAATTCCAACATATGTGTTATCTACCAGATATTTCTCTGCAGTTTCCTTCTGGAAACGTAAATGCACAAATTGATCACATACTTTTACAAAAGACTTTACAATAATCTTGAATACATTACTTGTCAAAAGTATGCATAAAAATCATAATAATGATTTGCACTTCAATGAAAGCTGAGATAGACAGATAGACAGTACTGAGTCCTGTATTTTCAGTATAATGGAGTGAATCCTTAAGGTAATTTTAATGCAACTACCTTTTAAAAATGTTTTATCAAAATAGAGGGGTGAAAAAAAACAAGCCACCAGTCAAAGTCAGATTTCCTCCCCAGATTTCCAGAAAGGAAACCTGACTTCTCTTTTTTTTTTTTTTTTTTTTTTTTTTTTTTGGTTGTATATTGAGATTTGGTATTCACAGTAAAACAGAACGAAATTACTGCTTTTCAGTTAATCACCAGAATATTACTAGAGTTTTCAGTGGTTAATAAAAATTATTAATTCATTTCCTATACAGTTAAACCAGTTAAAGATTTTTATTTCTCTATAAATTATATATTATATATTATATACTGGAAATAAATGAATGTAATCCCTTAATCCATATCTAATCTTGTAATGAAATGATGTTACTCTGCCGATTAATAAAGATTGATTTTTTTTTCTCTAAAGGTTTTCCCTACACACAGGTAAGCAAGCACATACAAGACAGAAGTTTTAGTTGCATGTCTGCAGGTATGCAGTCATATAAGAACTTTTGTTATTTATGCCACATTAAGCTCTTAATTTTTTGTGTGAAACCTCCTGATTCTCTCTGATGCTGTCAAATGTTTCTTTTGTTCTAGAGCTGATACTGTCTGCTCAGGCAGAGGACTGTGTAAAGGTCAGTCAAAAAGCAAGGAGGTGACAGTCATGCTTTAATTTTATAGAAGTGTTATAATTATATTGAAGTTTTGGGTGTTTTTAAGTGTGTAATACGTTTGTTGTGAGTCTAAAGGGTGGGAAAACTATTATTCTTCCCTTCATAGTTTTTCACAAAATATGAGGGCGTTTACAGCAGTTTTTTACCGGTTTTTTTACAGTTTTTTGTTTGTTTTGTTTTGTTTTGTTTTTTCCCTTTCTCTGGGGGACCTGTGTGGTTTCTGGGGCAGCCAGGTGTGGCTTTGAGCGCTAGGAAGGTGCAGGTGGGCAGAGCAGGATGATGGAGGCAGTGGACGTGCCACCCGAGGGCTACTCCCTGATCAAAGCCGTGTACCAGCGGCGCCTGCGCCTGACCCGGCTGCTGATCGACGGCGGGGCCTACGTCAACGAGAGCAACAGCCGGGGCGAGACCCCGCTCATGATCGCCTGCATGACCAAACACAGCGACCTGCAGAGTGCCAGCAAGGCCAAGATGGTGAAGTACCTGCTGGACAACAAGGCTGACCCCAACATCCAGGACAAGTCCGGCAAGACGGCCTTGATGCACGCCTGCCTGGAGAAAGCAGGCCCTGAAGTGGTGTCCCTGCTGCTGCTGAGCGGGGCTGACCCCAGCCTGCCAGACCACTCCAACTGCTCTGCTCTGGTGTACGCCATCAACGCTGCGGACAGGGACACCCTGGAGCTGCTGCTCAAGGCCTGCAAGGCGCGAGGGAAGGAAGTGATCATCATCACCACAGACAAGTCGGCGTCAGGGAGGAAGAAAACAAAGCAGTACCTGAACGTGCCTCCTCCAGACCTCGAAGAATGCACTTCCCCAGCTGACTGCACCTCCCCATCGGACATAGAAGCAAACGAGGGTCCAGAAGACCCATTCAGCTACAAGGAGCTGTATGGTGGACAACAGGGGGACAACTCATCTGAAAGAGTGCCACTGATGACCAAATCCAGCTCAACACCAGCACGGTTCAAGCTGACACAGGTACTGCAGTGTGATCCCTGGCTAAAGTGCTGTCCAGCAGTGTTTCAGCAGAGGAAAATCACTTCTCAAGAACTTCAGGGTATCAGTCCCAGAGAAGATCTCTCCTGTAAGGTGACTGGCCTTGACTTTTGCAGGGGTGTCACCACCAGTCATGGAAGTAGAGACAGGAAGGACACCGCTCAGGTACTGAAAACCTCTGATCAAACCATGTCAAGGAAAGCATTACGTGATGCAATAAACTATCAGACTCCTTTTGTTGAAGAGAAGCATAACCCCAGTGAGATTCCCATGGGCATGGATGCCAGTTTGGGACAAATCAGCTTACTTTCAAACCTTGGCAGTATTATCAAGAAAGGAAGCGGAGAATCGAATTACAACATCTCCAGTTCTCAGTTAACTAACAGTTTAATTCCTGTTGATACAAAAGGCAGTAAGTCACCAAAAGGAAATCAAGAGATTCTTTCTACCTACCAGACTTTGTTACCAAGCCCGAGAAGAGGTCTGGAGAGGATGTCTCCTGTTTCTCCGAGAGGCAGAAATCAGGCTCCTCTAGAGGAAGAGGGTGCAGGAGCCTTAGTGCTGGATCAGACAAGGCCAGCTTCAGGTTTTCTGCCACCCCTGAATGTGAACCCCCGCCCCCCCGTCCCAGAGCTCACTGTCATAAACACAGTTTCTGGAATGATTTCTTATGGACAAACTCACTTAGTACCACCAGGATCTGCGTTCCCCAAAGGGACCAAAGATACCAATCTGCTGCGGAGGAAGCCATATGAGCAGATTACTGTCTGAGCAGATTCAGCAGTTACTGAATCTTTAACAGGAGAGCAAAGGGGATCTTTATGATATGTAAATATTCACTGCAGTCCTTGACTGTAATGGTATGTATCACAAAATAGAGCAGGTCTGTGATGTAAAGTAGTGTCTGCCTCAGGATGACTGGAATAGCTCAGAAACTAAGTGAGAATACTTACCTAGTGGGGCTGTCTTCTGCAAAGTAAGGAGTGTTTATTTTGCTGGTTTTGTAAAGTTTCCGACTTGCCTGTGACAGACTGAACCCACGACGGTCCTTAAGCATTGTAGTTCTCATTGTAGGCTGTAAATACTACCCCCCCTAGATTTCCCCAAACACGCACACCCTTGCAGCACCCAGAGAGGTGGTGCAGGTGGAATTCGGGAACCTGAGGCATTTGACTGCGATGCTGGACATCAGACTGCCTCTGTCCAGGTTGTACATATGCAGAAACCCCGGAGACATCAGCGTGCAGTGGGGTGGGTGGCAGCAGGCGCACACCGGCAGCGCCTGCTGCCCTCAGCAGCCTCACTGCCAGCGAGCAGACAGCTCCGAGCTGGTAACTCGTGTTGCGGAGCTGTGCTGCTCAGGGCTGGCAGCGAGCTTCAGCCGCCCGGCTGGCTCTGGGAGCTCTCCAGCAGCAGCCCCAGCAGGGCGAGTGGCGAGCGCCGCAAGCCAGCCGCGCTCACGCTGCCGCCGGGCGCGGCACAGCTCGGGCTGCTCCAGCTACAGCCTCCGCAATCGGCTCCCTTCAGAAAAACAGGGAGGCATAGCCTGGACCTGAAGCGGGCTCTGTTACTTTCTGCAGTCCTGGGGTCCTCAGAAGGACACCCCCAGGTCAGGCTGCAGCAATTTGCCCCCAGTCGCAGCCCTTTCCACCAGGGTGCGGACGCTGGGACACACCCAGATTGTCTTCATGAGCAGGGGCACTGCACACACACAGACACACACACACACACAGACAGACACAGACACACACACACACACAGACACACACACACAGACACACAGACATAGAGAGACACACACACACAGACACAGACACAGACAGACACACAGACACACACAGAGACACACACACAGACAGACACAGACACAGACACACACAGACACACAGACACACACACACACACAGACACACAGAGACACACACAGACACACAGACACATAGACACACACACACACACACACACACAGACAGACACACAGACACAGACACACAGACACACATACAGACACACACAGACACACAGACACACACACACACACATGCACACAGAGACAGACACACACAGAGACGCGCACACTCACATTTGGGAGCAGGTAAGAGCTCTGTCCTCCTGCTCAGACAGACCTAAAACAGACAACACAACAGCTTAAGGGAAGGTGAGGCACTGGCACAGTTTTCCCAGAGAAGCTGTGACTGCCCCACCCCTGCGAGTGTTCCAGACCAGGTTGGACAGGGCTTGGAGCCACCTGGTCTAGTGGAAGGTGTCCCTGCCCATGGCAGAGGGCTTGGAACGAGATAAGCTTTTATTTCAGATGGTTTCCAACCCAAACCATTCTGTGATTCTGTGAGTCTTCTTATGAAGCTCACCTGGGAGATGGAAACCTACACTTGGCCTAATTTGAAAGAGAGGACAGAATTTCCCACAAGTGGAGAGACGTCCTCTGCAGCCTCCAAGCTACTGCGTATTTTTAAGTATCTCTATCTAAAAAAATCTTTTTGTGTTTTGTGATTCCAAGTATCTCCCTTGCCTTTGTGTGCATCCCATAGATGCTGGATTTCTGGTATTGCATTTAGCATTTAAATCTCATCTTCTAAATTTTGAGAAAAAGTGAATGTGTTCTGTTTTGTTGTAGTTTACAGAAATTAGCTGTATTGAAATTGTGCCTGTGTAATGTGAATTTCAGTATACTGAAGTTAGTTATTTTTTTTCCTGAAAATACTCAGTGGGTACTACCTGTCTTGTTGCAGCTTCAGTCAAAGTTCACCAAATCTGACGTTGCCTAACAAAAGCCTGTAATGCTATTTATTAAATGCTTTGCACTTAGTAGGAGACAATTTAACGGGGATCTTAAGCATAAAACAGTGCTACGGGGATCTTAACCACAAACCAATTCAAAGAAGATACAGACATCAAACAATTTGAAGGGGATCACAACCATACAAATATTTAATGGGGATCATCACCATAAAACAATTTAATGGGGATTCTAAACATTAAACCACTTAAAGGGGATTATAAACATATACTCTCTGTAAATAACTATTTGGGAGTATTTGTTTCCATTCAGTTTCTGCCTTTTCCTTCAGATTTTCCTGGATCAGCCCCTGTGTACACCAGGTACAAAAAAGGATTATGGGGACATACTTTTATGACACAGAAATTATGTGGAACAACGTATGTCAGTATTAACCAAGTACAAATTAGTCCCTGCACAGAATACACTTTCCAAATGTTTTCATGATAATATAAAAGGAAATGGCAAGTTCTCGTCTGTTCACCTCATAGTGAAGTTAAATATTTGAAGGGGAAAATAGATCTTTAAAAAAATACAAATTCTTTTTTAGAAGAAATTCACTATCACCAGGTGTTTGAACTAGTATCTTTGCTGAGGGTATAAGGCCCAATTTATGCTCTTCTGATTTTAAAATTAATTATGTATATGGGACTATGGCTCCCTTAAACGAAACCATAATTTTTCTTCAAAATGCTCAGACAACAGAGGGAAGTGGCCAGTGTCTTGAAAAGGGAAGTTTTTCAGTAGTGTTACCAGTATTTTGTGATTAATTGTGATGCAAAGTAGTGTGAAGTGTTTATATTATTGTTTGTGTTACTGTTACAAGTGACCTTCAAAGGAAAAAGCTTTGTTCTCTTGCTGCTGTTATGCTGAATAAATAAAAGTTATTTTTTCCCCCTCAGAGGGAACATGGAAATAAGCACATGCTTTTATTCACTACTCAGGAAATGATGAGTCATTGCAAAAGGTACTCACTCAGAAGTGTTTCTCAGGCTGCCTCTGTACAAGAAAATGGGAACAGTTACTTCGATTTAATCCAATACAGCTAAATTTGTCCAAAGTATGGTGTGAGAGAGGCTCTTTCCACCTGCTGGAAGCTTCCTGTGGTTCCACTTGTGGAGCAGAGATGCACTTGTGTTGTCTTTAAAGCCTCAATCCATGACATTTCCCAGCCACCCCGATGTTCTTTTCAGCAAAGCACGGTCAGCCTGACCCCAGTTCCAGATGTTAACTCCTGGGTTGACAACAAGCCCCTGCAGGGGTCCCTGGTGGCCCAGGAAGCTCCACGGGCTGGGAGCGGCCCTGGCTGGTGCTCGGGGCTGTTCCCACAGCTCCAGAGGGACCCCAGCCCCGAGGCACTGCGGTGACACAGTCACTCACACTGGGCTGCGCTGTCACCCTGCTGCCACCAGCGACAGGCACACACACCCGCGGCAGAACGGCTTTTAAACATACCTGCTTACTTGGGAAAGGTGAAAAACAATTCCAGGGTTTTTTTCAGGTTTTTTTTTACTTCTGGTCTTCATTTTCTCTGCAAAATGCTGTGAAGCCGTACAATGAAAGTAACTTCAAAACGAAGAGTGGTGGCTTCACAAAAAGCAGCGATTACGTAAGAACTCCCATTATTTTGGTTTAAGATATTTAAGAACAGCAAGTCACTACACAAAAATGTCGGAAACGAGCAGTTTTCAAGGTTGTGTGTAAGGTGCAATGTTCAAAATACAGCCTTCAAAATATCTTTCCCTGCACATTTAATTTGGTTTTTCTTTTAAGGAGTAATTGCTTTGTTTTGATCTTTGTCTTTTAGAATTACTCAGCACTTCCAAAAGAATATTGCCATATTTTGGTGCAGCTATACAAGAAAAACATTAAACTGAGTAGGCACTAAATTTCTTTTTTTTCTTCATCAATCCCATGTAAGATCTTTATCTCTCTGCATGTGATACACAGCAGAACTATTTACTTTTCCAACTAAAGCAAGGGATTTATAAATAAATAAAGATTCTTACACATTCACTGTGAAGTATTACTGGCACTTCACTAACCTCAAGATCAGGTGTCATAACGAAACACCTTAAGAAAGCTCAGGGGGGGCCAGTTTCAGAGTCAAAGAGATAAAATTCCATTTGTCATCACTAAATATTCCAACAAAAAACCCAGCTGTTAATCCCCCTGGACAGACAACAGGTCTTTTACTCCTGCACACAAGTTCACCTCTTTTGCAAAAAAAACCCAACATATACATATATATGTCAATCCAGGGGTTTTGCCCCAAGTTTATGTCCAGCTGTTTGAAAATGACGCCGATATCTTATGCTGAACACCAGAGATGTCTTCTAGAAACACGCACAGGGCTATTCATTCCCAGGTTCCTGAAACCCAGACACAGAGGCAGGCTGAGGAACTGCAGCAAGTTCCTGTCTTTTTTCCCCGAAAGCATCAGCAATTTTGAACACTTCCATGCGTGTGTCACAGACGGAGTGAGTTACAGCCTGCTTTCTCTCAAGAACGTCTCCATTTCAAAATATAAACCTGACCTTACACATATTTTAAAAACACATTAATGGGAGCACCTTTTAAAGACACACTAATTCTGCTTGGGCAGATTCCCACTGAGATTATGAATCTGTGACTGTTTTTTCTCTACAACAAGGGGAGAAAACACGACCGGGCACTGGAACCAACAATGACAGAAGGGATCACTGGAAAATTCAAGGGTATCAGGTCAAGGCAATTAGGCCAAAAACCTGTAAAAACCTGTAGTATTTCAAGGGAATCCAAGGAAATTAAGCCCAAGCAGCAGGATATTGAAAATTACCATGGAACTACCCCAAAAATACGTAATTTCAGACTTCCGAAGACAATATCATACAATACTTTTAATTTCACTGGAAGCAAACAGATATTCCTGCAAAAAAAAAGAGCAAACTGAAAAACAGGTGTCTGGGAGCATCAAAAAACAACAACAAATTGAAAACACAATCAGAATTCAATTAAAATTCCAAGAAATTAAATATTTTGGCTAGAAAAAGATCTCAAGATTATGGATCAATAATTCACTCTTTAAACAATTGTCCAAACACTTCCTCTTATCGTTAGGCCTCTTACTACCTTAGAACCCTTACCCTTTTTAAAAGAAATAGTCCGAGAATTGAAAGACATTTTTAATCAAAAAACTTCAGAGGAACACTGAAATCTATGGAAAAGCCCCCCCCCCATTTCTTGGATATAATGTAGGTATAATTCATGTATTCCAATAGGCTCTCCCTAAACTTTTAAGAACTAATGAATCCAAATATTTTTAATTCCCAGCACTCTTAATTTCTGTATTTTTTCCTTGAAGAAAACGACGAGTCCATTTAATCACCAAGTCATTAAATGAGTTTCAAAGACTCTCAGCACGGTTTCAGCTTTAATTTGAAGGTATGAATTGAAAAAAACCACTTTGTGTTGAGTTTTATTTCAGTGAGAGCAGGTTAAGAAACGTGTCACACTTTGAATGAAAGCTGAAGATGGAGAAGGGAGAACATAAGGTGGAGAACCATGTTTGGAAAATGTGTCTTTGGGGGCATTTCCTTGGATTCCAGAGCACATTTAGACAACAGAAACCTTGGAGAATACCTGGTGCTTTGCTCCCACTGGGATGCTTCCCTGTCATGGCAGGACAAGATGACAACTCTCTGCTGCACCACATCATCTATTTACTAATATCCTTCAAATTCACAGGGAAATACAAGGCTTGAAAGTGCAGTAAATTACAAATGTTTTTGTAGTATGAGACACAGATCCCTGAAAGAAGGTAAAAGAAAAAATACTAAAATACAAGACAGCTACAGCTGAACAGCAGAGACCTGCTGTTCCCACCAGGATAAATACCTGACTTCATCTGTCCTTTATTGTCTCACTGCCAGCCCCACAGCAACACGTTTTATTTTAAGAGAGCGTTTGAATAAACACAGAGAAACAAAATCAAATTAATTTATTTATGTGCAAGTCAGACTAGACTGACATAAACAACTTCACCGGGGACTGGCAAAGATCCATAGGTAAAACTTACATACAGAAATTCATACACAAAGGCTAATCCATACAGCTTAATCAAATTCACCACATAGCCATTTCCTGGTAATCCACATGATTTCTTCTTTTAATTTTATTTGATTATCCCTGACACCCACAGATATTGCTCAGATGTTCTTCTTCCTTAAAAATATTTCTGGCAGGTTGTTGATAGATTTTACTGAATAGTTTAATGAGTTTTAATGAATCCCAGTACTTCAGGTGGGAACTGGTCACTGGGAAGATTTCTAAATAGCCAAAAAATGTGTCCCTGTGGTCCCAAAGAGGCCTACCACTGAGAGATAAAATCCTGCAAATCAATGAATGCAACTGCCTGCAACAAACCTCAACTGAAAAATGCATCATTTCTCCAAACTCACTATAGAAACCACACAGCCAAGCCTGACCCTTTGGTATTTACTGGCACTCACTTCATCTGGACCTGCAAATTAAATCAAGTACTCTGTTTAGCTATCCCAAGTATCATCAATCCTAATTTTAGCCAAGCACACCTTAGCAGATGACCAAAACGAAGAAAGCTCTACCCTTCAAAAACAGAAAACAATTATTAGATAAATCTCTCAAAGGAGCTATAGGAAACGAAAGGGAGACTCAAAATTTAATGTGAAATCACCATAATTCAAGATTTAGGATTAAGAAATGTAACTAATTTTTCTATCACACCATTACCAATGCCACACAAGAATCAAAAATTACTGTAATTTACTTTAGTACTAACAGCCCATAAAATGTTGCATACAGTATCTCAGTTAACAAAATTTCCACAGGAGTCATGTGAGAGGAATTGGAAAAGGAGGACAAGAAGTTGACAAAGCAGTGCTTCTCAGGGCATCTCAGGACATTAGCTTTTATTCGGGAGCTAAAATGTCCTCTGTGATTGTGAAAAAGATCTTTGGTTTTTCTTGTATCATTTGTGGTGTTTGGCAGAAGCCAATCCCACAGAGCTGGCGTCTCAGTCTGTGTGAATTCTGGAGAATTGCAGCAGCAAAAGAGGCAATAAATGATTTCAATTAACCAGGTCAGGTTCTTCCTGCAGGTGGTTATCAGGGGTTTAGCTTTAATCAGAGGAAATTTCCACTTTGGGAAGTTCTGAGAGTCGCAGAGCCAGCACTGCCAAGTGGGGCCCGTGGGCAGCTCGGAGCACTGGGGAACGTCCAGAAGCCCTGGGACCAGCAGGGGCTGGGACAGCCCTGCCACCACGGCCACCGAGCCCAGGTGTGGGGGCAGACTGGGCACAGGTGTGGGGTCACACTCAGCCCAGCCCTGGGGTCACACTCAGCCCAGCCCTGGGGTCACACTGAGCCCAGCTCTGGGGTCACACTGAGCCCAGCTCTGGGGTCACACTGAGCCCAGCTCTGGGGCCAGACTGAGCCCAGCTCTGGGGCCAGACTCAGCCCAGCTCTGGGGTCACACTGAGCCCAGCTCTGGGGTCACACTGAGCCCAGCTCTGGGGTCACACTCAGCCCAGCTCTGGGGCCAGACTCAGCCCAGCTCTGGGGCCAGACTGAGCCCAGCTCTGGGGCCAGACTCAGCCCAGCTCTGGGGTCACACTGAGCCCAGCCCTGGGGCCAGACTCAGCCCAGCTCTGGGGCCAGACTCAGCCCAGCTCTGGGGTCACACTGAGCCCAGCCCTGGGGTCACACTGAGCCCAGCTCTGGGGCCAGACTGAGCCCAGCTCTGGGGTCACACTGAGCCCAGCCCTGGGGCCAGACTGAGCCCAGCTCGTGGCACCAGCCAGGGCTGCTCCCCAGCCATGGTGTGGCTCTGACAGTGCCTGGCAGGGTCACCACGGGCATGGGGACCCTGGGCAGGGTGACCCCAGGCCTGGGCAGCACGGGGCACAGCCCCTGAGCAGCACCAGAGCAGCACCAGCAGCTGCTCTCCCCTCCTGGAGTGTGTGGCACCACGGATCCCACACTGCGAGCAGGGAACAATGAGGAGGGCACTACATTTCTATCTGAGGGGTCTTTCTATAGAGCTGAGCAAAAACTCCTCCAGCAGCCACAGGCGTGCTCAACACAGTCCTTCTGGCAAGGAAAATGCATTGCTTTGAACCAAAAATCCTCACATTTAAAGGGGGTTACAATATTAAGCACTATAAGGTCAGGCATTTCCTGCTTTGCATTTACCACTCTAATCCAATGGCTTTCTTGAATTCAGAATTTTGTGGCTCAAAAATGTCATAATAAACCCTACTTTTATCAAAGTTTTCTCGGATGAGAAGCAAGTCTTCTACAGAATACATGTCTTCTTTTCCTGTCCAAACAGTGAGGCTGTACCTATGTCCAGGAAAAGCGGGAAGAGAAACAAAACAAAGAGAAAAAGAGTATGTCAAGATAAAGCATGTAAACCAGAACGACACTGCACTAACAACCTCCTAAAAACACTCAGGATTACAGCATTTTAATTTTAGAAATGTAATTAAATACAAACAACTGCACCCCCAGACCAATTTATCCGTGGTTGTTCTACCAAACCTGGGAAGAAGATAAACAAACAACTTGAGGTAAATATCCAGCAAAGAAATTTACCAGACTGAGCATTTCAGGTTTGATAAAGTAATCGATAGTCACAAGCTGAGCCTCAAAACAGGAAATATGATGCAATCCCAGACGCAGGTGATTGTTGTGCTCTGTGCCTTGTCACGTCAGTGATGTGTAGAGATGCCACCTAACCCAATTCTCATTAATTGCACAGAACTTCTCAAAAAACACTGAAATCTCCAATTATTCAGTTAAAGCATTACTTCCACACCCTCCACACGACATATACTTAGTTTTCCCCTCTGTTTATAAAACTGTATTAATTTTAAAAATGGGTTTATCAGAACTCAGTTGTATGTGAGCAAAACTGGCTCAGGAATTTCTGTCTTCTAATCATGCCACTGAGAAATCCCCCTGAGTTTTATGCTGAGGTAAAAGAGGGAATCCTAGTATTTCAGTGGGAATAATGTTTGTATCCAATGATATATGAGACTGGCACAATTCATAAGACATACTCCTAGTGCAGTAATATTCTAAAATTAGTTTCCCAGGTTAAACAGCTTAATTATAATTTCTGTCTTGAGTCTTCACCATAAAAAACAGTATCAGCACTTTGTTTGTCCACCCTGTTTCTAAGTAATTGGAAACTTTTCAGAGACTGTCTTAAGTTTTCCGTCTTGTGCTTTGACCTTGGTTGGAACCAGAGTTTATTAAACTCTGGGTAGGCAGAGCAGGTGAAAAAGATGAGTAAATGGCAATTTGTAGGAAACTGGTTTTATTTTCATTCTATTACGTGTGAATAAATTTTATAATGAAATAGGGGTTTGCAAGAACAATTTTTAAAGGAAAATGTAAGTTAGTGTATGAAAACCACTGAATACATTTCAAGTGCCTCAGCAAAATTAATTAGCTCGGAAGGAAACACCTGACTTCCAATCTCAAAATCACCTTTGACATTTTTCAGGAGACACTGCTAAAGAAATATAAATAGTGAATCCAATACAAAGTCTTTGGATTGGATGAATTCCCCATTGCAACATCAAACTATGTAGTCTATTTAACTATGCTCATCTCAGGAAATGTTTGCAGCAGAACTGGATTACACACCTATGCACCATTTAAAAGTCCTTATAGTACGTAATGAAAAAGAAGATTCTGGAATTTCACTACTTAAAAGAAATTAATAGTGACCACTTCTGTCTGAGGAATTACAGGCTTTGAGACCTGAGGGAAATAAAGAACTGAGGGAAGAAGTATTTCCAATGCTATTGGGATGAGCATGGGCACAGGTGCTGTGCTGGCCACAAGGTGCAGGCCCTGGGGCACTGCTGGAGCACCAGTGCAGCTGTGGGATGCTGAACAGTGCAGCACTGACCTGGGGCACTGCTGGAGCACCAGTGCAGCTGTGGGATGCTGAACAGTGCAGCACTGACCTGGGGCACTGCTGGAGCAGCCAGTGGAGCTGTGGGATGGAGCTGGGCACCAGTGCAGCCCTGACTGCGAAGGTCACGGGCTGGGACAGGGGCTGGCACAGCCGGGACATCTCCTGCACCATGGGCCACTCGTAGCCTGGGGACAGACACGGCACTCAGCATCCCTCGTGCCCCTTTGGAGACACAAAACCAGCTCCTGAAAACTGAAATTCCTGAAATTCTGCAGCCAGACTGCTGCATGGCTCTGAAATGCAGCGAGGAAAAATGCAATAAATGCAGTAACAGCATGGAAAATGAACTTACTGTGAAAACCTTTATTTCCCATACCATACCTATATACTTACTTCACATATAGCTACAGAATGTGGCATTTTTAATGTATCTTTGCCCTTTCACTAAAAAACTCTCCTGCCACTGCCTTCAATATGGCCTAGATTAACATTGTCAGGGACCCTTTAAAAATAAAAATACAAAGGAAAAATTAGGACAACAAGTTAAATTAATCCACCAGGAATGAAGTTACACACAAATCAAACACACACAGGCAAAAACATTCTGTGCCTAAAAACGCTAAAATCAAACCATGTAAAATACTGCAAGTGCCTTTGCTGAGATTTTTACAAAGACTGGAGCTATTTCAGGTTATATTTAACTGTTCTTTTGTTTCTACTGGCTATGAAAATCCTATAACAATAGTTAGTAAGTTTTTTCTCAATTACTCATATGGAATGTAGTGACTAGAAATAGTAAAAAAAACACTAAATATTAAAAAAAAAGTTTTTTTGGGCAAGCAGCAACTTCTAGGTGAAATCAATCAAATGAGCAGGTTTTCTCAGGTTTTATAGTAGAACCTTACTTAGTATTTCCATAAACTGAAATTTAGAATGGAGTGATACTGAAATCCATCTTCACAGGTTACCCGGTATTTCTAATGCCTCCTGCACTGAAAATACCTGGGAGAAAGCACTTCAAAACATTTAATGTAAGAGTTTAAACTGTTTACATAAACACTGAAAACAATTCAATAAAATTCAGTATATCATATAGCAAAACAGTAAACCTGGCTAATGAATAAGCAGCAATGGGAATGGTGTATAATCCTGCTATGGTGGCCCCAGATACTGGAGGGGACCCTGCTTCTCATGATGAGAACTGCAAGAGGAAGCTTGTGAAAAAGACCCTGTAACAATGAAAATTGGAAAGTTTACTGCAAAAATTCAGGTATCCAAGAGGAATGAAATGTTAGGGGTAAGGCAGACCCACAATTTGATTTCAGTGATCAAAAAGAGCAGATGTAAAGTCTCACATTTTCAGCTGATCTGTTTTCCCTCAGGATGCATGCCAGGATTCCGATCACCAAACCCATGCTCCCAGGATTCAGGGAGAGCTCTCCCTGAAACAGAGGCTAAGGGGTTCGCCCCTCAGAAGTGTTCAGCAGCTAAGAGTTGAAGTACAAACCAGCTTATTTTAAGAAGATGGTATTTTCACCCAGCTGTGCTGCCACTGGACTGGGTGATGCACAGGCTCTATCAAACACCTCAGCACAGTGCTCCACTGAGAACCACTGCAATCCCCAGCCTGCCAACTGGACACACACTGGAAGCCATCGAGCCCTGCCCTTACCTTGCCCTCGGTGGCAGCCTGTGGTCCAGCCCAGGGACAGGGTGGCCTCGGGGCAGGACGAGGTGACAGCGCCCAGGAAGGCGCGGGCGTCCAGCGGCGTGCGGCTCCCGCGGGGCCCAGGCAGGATGTCCCCGTTCAGCCACACGGGTCTGTCCAGGGGCTGCCCCACCTGCCCCAGCAGCTCCAGCGAGGGTCCCACGGCGGCCAGGCTGTGCCAGGACACAGGGCAGGGTCAGGGTGGGAGTGTCACCGCAGTGTCACCGCGCCCTCCGTGCCAGGTGAGCGCCGCTGCCATCCGCTGCCATCCACTGACCTCCCCTGCAGGAGTGAAACCCCCAGACTCCTAGCCCCTGCTCCCAGCACTTGCTGGCCTCCCTCAGCACCCCCAACTTGTCACCTCTTCATCTCAGGCCTCAGAAGGGTTTTAACAAAGGAAGCCACTTGTGTTTCACCAGACCTGAAAGCCACAAATGCTGTAAATTCAGTCCACAGAGTGAAAGTCATCTGTCCCCACCTTAACCACGCTCAAAGTGGCAAAGATTTTATCACTGTGCCAGATCCAGACTCAGATTTACCTTCACACCCGTGCAAGGTGATGCACCTGTACTAAGAGAATAAAAAGCCTGACACAGACCAAGTTTGGGCAACTAAAAGGGAGAAAAGGCACCCACTTGAATATTTAATGGCTGGTTGTGGTTCTTCCCACACCTCCAAAGTGTGGCAGCACACAGAAGCCTGCCTGTCCAATGATCATCTGACAGCTAATTATTGAATTGTTAAATGTGAGCTGGCAGCACCTGAGGAACCAGTGCAGATATCCCAAGAGCATTTAACAAAATCTTCTGTCACATATTCTTACTGTCCTGTCAAGCCAAAAGAAAAAGCACAACTAACTTTTTTCTAACTCTAGCCTGCAGAAACCTCCAAAGTACTGTGGAAGGAAAAGAGATGGGAAACTATGGGGAAAAGAAATGAACACCACGAAAATCTTCTTTCTGACACAGCACATCAATTAATACACTATGTAACACTGAGGAATTTAAAATCACTGTGGTCAGAGTTTTGGAATTAGGTTAGTTCTGAAGCCAACAACTAGCCCCTGGGCTGCTTGTCTTGTTTTCTCTGTAAAGTCACTTTGTGTATTTTGTTTTTTGTGCTGTTGGGAAAGCTGCACAGAGGCAGGAATTCCACTCACTCAAGATGAGTTCAAGTTCTCTAGGAGAAAAGCCAGTGATGCCTTGTGTTAACTTGAGGGCTTCAGCATTTCTTACACTGTCTGGGGCCAGAAAAGTTTAAATCCTCACATAAGCAAGGAACCATCAGGGTCAGTGGAAAGTCTTCCCTTGTACTGCAAAATATAAAGTAATGTAGTGAGAAAGAAGCCCCAAGCAAAATGGCAACATAGAAAAAATAAAAATAAATTTTTAGAAACCCAAAACAATACCCCCCCCCAAAATAAGGAGGAAAAAAACAAAGCAGAAGAACAACAACAAAAAAAAACTCAACCCCAAAAAACCACAAACCCCAGAGAGCACTGGTTTCACTGCACAGCATTTAGAAAATCCAGATTTACTGCTGACTTCATGTGAAATGACTATGGCATTTCTGAAGTGGGACACTAAAGACCTTTTGCAGAATACATTAATTTCAGTAGCCAAAGCCAGTATGAAATGTAACTATGTGGTCAGTCGAGCTGATAGAGCAGAGATGTAAAAAACAGATTTTTAAGGCACTATTGAAACAATCTCTAAAACTTCAGCAATGGCATCCAAATAAATATTATCCAAAGGAACATCAAATTCTGTTATCACTTATTTGATCTATCTGCACCGTGTGATGTATTTTTGAATGCTTTTATATAATCATACTTTCATAATGCAATGCACTTTTAGAAGCTTTCTCTGAATCACTGCACTTCGCTGTAAATTCCCTGTGGAAAAATTAAAGGTAAAAAATTAAAGGTATTAAGGTAAAAAATTAAATAAAATTAAAGGTAGCTTAAAATTAATCTAAACAATGATTAAAATGGAGGAAAAACACTACCAAAAATCACAATAAATAAGCCTAAACTAATGCCTACTGCTCTTTTTTCCCTTTTCTGCCCAGAACCACACACACAGATCCTGTAACAACAAAAGGGTTTAGCCTGCCCACGTTTTTTACTTCCGTGAACTTTCACATGAAAATCAGGACTGTGTTACACTGAACCACAGGCATAAATCACATTTCACAACTATCTTGTGGGGGGGTTTTGCTTTTCTATAGAGTACTTCAGCATTGATGAAGGTCTTTGTAATTTGCTACCAAAACAGACTGAGCACATGGAAACCAAGACAAAGCCAGAGTCAGGAGCTGAAGGGCTGCATGTCTGGAAATCACCGCTCATTTCTAACTCTTTCTAGGCAATCTCAGGTAGTTTTCAGGTGTGTTTTCCATCCCAGAAACGAAACAGCCAATGGTTCAAACTGTGAATGAACTTCTCAACATTTAGTTAGCAAGGCCAGAGAAAGGACCCTTCCAGAGAGGCACCAACGTTTCCCAATGGGAAAGTTCTGCTCACAGTACCTAATTCACTGATTTAAAAAAATCATTATTTGTAGTTCAAAACACTTCTAAAGGTTTTTTTCTTGCCATGCTTTGAGAATTATGGGCTATATTGCCATATGGATTATGCTTCTGAATGCACCACGTTAAACTGCACAATAAGGAGGAGTTTGGTTGACAATCACCTGTGGAATTTTAACAGGTAAGAATGCAAACAATCTTATGGTTGAGATACCTCTTAAAATCCAGCTTGATGCCTTTATTGGTGTTGACCATCTGTGCCAGCCACTCCTGCAGGGTGATGTCGCTGTCAGTGTCTGGGGGGTGAGCCAGGATGGGGTCCCTGTCCCCTCCACGAAGGAGAACATCCACCTCCACCATGTGCACATCACCTGGGGATGGAGAAATTAAACCTCAGCTTTCAGTGCCTCAGGGCAACAATTACCCAGCAAGTCTGTCTACACCAGCCTGTGCACCCTTACTCCAATGGGAACTGCTGTTTGTGACACAAAGGATGCAGCTCTGGGGGGTTCTCAGCCACCAAACACTTTGCAAGCCTACAACCATGTCAGAATTGATTCTGAGGATGCATTTGGCCAAACAACCATGTGGGGTTTTTTTCCTTTTTTTTTTGTGTGGGTTTTTTTCTTGTTTGTTTGGTTTTTGTTTTGTTCATGGGAACAGAAAAACAGGCATCCAACATGTGAACCCACTCTGGTTAAATTTCAGATCTTTTCCTCTGAAAATAGGATTCCTGACAGAGGAAAGATGAGCACAGGATTTAATACTGGCAGAGACTGAGCATTTCCCTTGACTCATTGCCAAAACTGACCGAGAAAATGTTAGCTCACACATGAGACAGGCAAAGAAGGGTCTCAGGAGTGCTCAGGCTCTTGAAAAGAGCTTTATATAACGAATCTGGGCAGTGCTACCAGCTTTGCAGAGAATCCAACACATACAGTGAAGACTGAAATACGAAGAAAAGAGCTAGTGACAGTATTCAACATAAAGGATATTATATATAAATTTACACAAATACGTATTTGTCAGATAGTTACATAAATTTACATAAAATTCACTGCTGCCCAGGCTGGAGGACCGGGGCCCTTCTGGCTCTGCACAAGTCCCTGGCAGGAGGGGACAGCCGGGGGGATTTGGGCTCTGCTCCCAGGAACAGGGACAGGAGGAGAGGGAACGGCCTCAGGCTGGGCCAGGGGAGGCTCAGGGGGGACAGCAGCAGGAATTTCCCCATGGAAAGGGAGCTCAGGCCCTGGAACTGCCCAGGGAGGTTTGGAGTGCACATCGCTGGAGGGATTCAACAGCCGTGGGGATCCTGGAGCAGGGAGAAGGAAGAGGAGGAGGAAGAAGAGGAGGAAGGGGCCTGTGCCACACTCACTTCGCGCGGCCTCCGCTGCCCGGGCCCTGCTGTTGGCGGCGTGGAACCAGCGCACGGCGGCCCCGTCCCTGGCCCCGATTAGCCCGGAGCGCAGGAAGTGATCCACGGGCCACTCGCTCCAGGCGCCTGCGGGAACACGGCGGGAACCCCTCAGCGCGGCCCGGCCGCCGGGGAGCCCGGCACAGCCCCGGGAGAGCCCCCACACGGCCCCGGCACAGCCCCGGCACAGCCCTCACACGGCCCCGGCACAGCCCCCACACGGCCCCGGCACAGCCCCCACACGGCCCCGGCACAGCCCCCACACGGCCCCGGCACAGCCCCCACACGGCCCCGCCGAGCGCTGCTCACCCCGCGCCCCGGTCGCCATGTCCCGTGGCCGGGCCGGGCCCGCCCCGCCGGGGGCCGGGTCCCTGGTCCCACCGCCTTCTATCCGGGCGGGGCACGATGTGGAATATGTCAGAATTATCCCGAATCGGGATGAGCTATCTCTGTGTCCTTTGAAGCCTAATCAGCAAGGAAAGATCTGATCCCTGGGACAGGCAGTGGCTGCAGCCCGCGGTCACGACACTCCGAGCTCCGAACGGTGTAGCACGGGATGTGGGCAAGAGCAGGGGACGCAGTCCTCAGCTGGGCCAGGGGAGGCTCAGGGGGGACAGCAGCAGGAATTTCCCCATGGAAAGGGAGCTCAGGCCCTGGAACTGCCCAGGGAGGGTTGCAGTGCCCATCCCTGGAGGTGTCCAGGGAATTCCTGGATGTGGCACTCAGGGCTCTGGGCTGGGGATGGGGCACAGCTGGGACTCCCTGAGCTGGGAGGGCTTTTCGAACTTGATTAATTCCGTGATTGTATGTGTAATCCAGCTGTGGGTGTGTGTCCATGCATGCCTTGCACACTTTGCCAGGATGCTCAGGGTACACAGCCGAACCCCGCTTTTGGGGACAGCCCCAAATCACCCTGCGGCTCCGACAGCCCCTGGCCCGGAGCAGCTGCAGAGCCGGGCTGGGGGCACACAGCCCCACGGCAGTTTAACCCCTCCTGGCCGAGGAGCGGCTCTGGCTGCCTGTAAAGAATGGAAATAAGCGCAGGGAAAGGGCAGTGGGGTGTGCTGGAACAGCCCCAGCAGCGGGCCTGCCCAGCACTGATGGAACACCCAGCCTCTCTCTGCACGGTGTCACTGTCGGCTTGTGGCACGCAGAGAAATGAATCCCATTTTTGGGCAACATCAGGATTCCCAGAAAGCTGTAGAGACAGGACACACACATTCCAAATCTGTCTTTGTTAGTTTCCACTGTAGGTAACTTTATTGATCACTACTGAAAAGGAGTTAGTAGAGATTAAGTGCCAAGAGGCAGCTGTTCCTTCAGGTGCCTTTGCCCTGTCACAGACCCAAAACGCTCTTCAGCCTCCAGCCTCGAGGGCCTGGGTGCAGCTTGTTTTCAACAAGGACAGGTTTTGTTCATACTGTGCGTGGGTTCAGCCCTTCTCCCTAATGTCAGCTTCTCAGGAGAAGTCAGCACAGAAGCTGCAATGCAGCTCAGTTCCATCCAGGGTAAGATCTCAATGCCTGAACCCTTCTAGGACTGGAGTGTTAAAGCACACATAACAGCAGAGCAGATCAGGTTAAATTACAAATTGTTTTTGATACAAAAACATAAAATATCCCCTATTAGCATCAAGAAGGCATCCAAGTTTTAATACTCTCATAATAAAATTGTACCAGCATTTTTACTGAAAGCAATATAGATCTTGTATATATTTAGATTTGGTTCTGTTCTCAACAAGCAGTTGTGTGGCTGCTGCCAAACCCCCACTGCAGTTCAATGAACCTCAGTACAAATCACATGCATCACAAATACATAAATAGATCTAAATGACCCAGTATCAAAAATACATCCTATGCAAGAACCTCAGGTATAGTAAAAATCCCAGAACAGTTTGGGTTGGAAGGGACCTTAAAGAGTTCTGACCCCACCTGCCACAGGCAGGCACGCCTTCCACTAGAATCAACCTGTCCGTGAAAATTCAGACTTAATACATCTGTTCTCCCAGAAAGCAAAGGTGGCTACTAAAATGTGGAAAAAGCAGTAGACAGGAGCAGAAAAAGACTGCAGAATTCTTGTCTGACTTATTGCTACATGTAGAATCCATCAATTCCATCAATCTGTTTTTTCCTAATCCTTGAAAGGTCAAATTGTATATGGAATTCTGAACACAGAGTAAAGAAAAAAAAAAGCACTTTTTATAAAAATAGCATCCATTTAAGTTAGATAAATCCTTATAAATACACAAAAGAAAACAGTTACTCTATAAAATATTGAGAGCATATGTTCCTGAAGCACCAGCATGACATCCCCAGGTTGAGGAGCTCAGTGAGGTGTTTATCCACACAGCCACAGCGTTCCCCCTGCGCTGCCAGAGCTGTCCTGGCACACGTAGGCAGCTACAGCAGGTCTGGCGTCTGACCCTCCCATGGAATGGAGACAGGTTTGGGCCAGCCCAGCTCCAGTGTTCAGCTCTTGCAGGGGAAAGCACATGCAGAGATCACATAGAACCCCAGCAACTTCAGTAGCACACTAATGTGAAGGCAAGAGACAAGATCCTATGACTTGGAGTTATGCTACACCTACCAAGTGCTACAACTGTGTGAGGAGTAGCAACACCTGCACTCTTCTGCACCTGTATTAAGTGTAAACTTTCAGAACTTCATGAACTACAACTCTTCTGTAGTAGAGGAACCAGAGAGGAGCAGAGGGGCTTTAGAAAAGCAGTTTGAAAAGCTATTAAAACATAACAGGTTTAGAAACTTTAACATTTTTAGTGTTTGTAGCATTACAACTTTGGTGTTCAGATCTATCAAATCAGCATATGCATGTAATCAGCCTCATCAAAACAGGTGTTCTATAATGAAAAATACCAATTCCATTTTCAGTGGTAGAGCTGCAGGATCTGACATTCCACTGTGAATCACAGGAATCAGAGCACTGTCCAAGTCATTCAGGTAGCTCTGTGGAAGGAGGTGCCCACCAGATCCTGCTAAGTATTCAACCTAGGAGGGAAACACATTAATTAACACTTTTTCTATTAACAAGACTATGCAAAAAGTGCTGTATCACAGTAGAAGAATATTTCAGCTACCACAAAGTGAGAAATTAATGACTAAGACAGCTTCTTCCCCAAATGTCAATCTCAGCCTGAATCTTGGGTAGGGCAAAACTCTTGAAACATTCCTGGAGAGATCAAAGCTATTTACAAGGGAAGATGCTTCAATGGGAAAGGAGTGTATGCAATAAAAGTTGAAAGCTTACCGTGTCTGAGTCAATGGAAACTCTGAGTCCTATCTTATTCATCCCATTATTTTTCAAGGTTTTAAGGTGAGGGCAAAGAGCAGTGCTGCAGGCAATGGCAATCTCTTTTGCAAACAGCTGGGGAACAGCACTGGAGAGTTCATGATCCTTTACAAAATAATAAACCTGAGACCAGAGAAAGGGAAAGGCAGTCAGCAGCCTGGTACATCCCAAAGTTAGGAAAAAGAGTAGTTCAGGATCACATAACACCGAGCAGGGCAAGCTTTGATGCTTGTTTGTTGGCAAAGCACCCAAGTATTTCATCCACACAATCAAAATACATCAGGAACCATAGGAATGCCTGCATTAAGCATTTGCAAAGCTGTCACTGCTAACAAATTTTACATTTTTTCAGAGGAGAAAAATGACAGGTGTGTAAACTCACCAAGAAGCTGCAGAGAATTTTCTGCCTCGCAAGATGGCTACACATAAATCAGCTAATTTTAGTAGCATCACTTAGTACCATCACATAACCACTTAAATATTCAAAAAGCAATAAAAAAGGCTCAAGAACTATGTAATTCACTAACTTCAGTGCACTTCATAACTTTTCCTTCTCTTTTGAAGTCTCTGTATTGTGGTGCTTTTTCACTGTGAGTTCCTTCCATTGATTTTCCATCAACTGGGCTTATAATTCTATGGAAAACAATAGTATGATTAGTAATTTAAACAACATTCATAGTTTAGGTATAGTAACTTCTATGAAATAATATTTACCCATCCTTTAAGGCTATTTAAACAGCTTTACAACAAAATACAATACAGGACATGGACTATGAAAATACAGATGGTACAAAAAGAAGTATCCTAAACACGGAACTAACAGCTTTAATAGAAACTTAATCTTGCAGGTTTAAGACACTATAAACCATCTTTGGTATCACACACTTTCTGTCAAAACAATACTTTAGACTAATTTCAAGAAACTAAAGGCAGATATTTGAAGATTGGAAGCAAGAATTCTCTCAGATATCTGGGTTTGGTAGTACGTGTACCCTTTGTTTGTTTTCTCTTCATTGTCTACCCAGCAAATATCTACATATTCTTTCACGTCCCCTCCATCCGTTTCTCCACAGGTTATTTTGAAGTCCTTCTTGTCTCTTAATGCCTGACGAAGGCTTTCCATTGTTTCTCGTGTTATTTGTACCATTAGCCCATCTAGAAGAAAACCAGTTAAATTCCACATTATCCACAGGAAAAGCAATACAATTTTTAGAGAATCTTGGCTTATATTCTACTAAGACCAACCATCTCCTACAGCTAATTAATAAATATACAAAAGTACTCCATCCCTCACCTACATCACTAAATTTTACATGAAAGAGGAAGAAAACCTTTTTTTTGTCAACAGAACTCAAAGTAAAAGATAATTTTTAAGTTAATTTTGGATTTATTTTATTTTCATATATGTGCCAATATATGTATTTCAGCAATAAGGCAATGAAAGTAGTTCCGTAAAGGAAAGACCTCAACTGATTAAGCAGAGTTTAAATTTGCAAGTTTTAAAACTAGTAAGTGAACTATTGTGTGTTTTTATGCAGCATTTGTCTGCAATAGGTTCAATACAAAATTAAAAAACCTGAAAAGAAATGTTTAGCTTACTGACGCATAAAGACCTTACACATGACTGCTGCTATTTTTTTCTTAAGTCTCTTAAGAAGAGAACAGAACAAAATCCTTACCTTCAACTATACTGGATTTAGCTAAAAATCCTGAAGATGTTTTTAAGGCTCCATTAAACACCACAAAACTTGCACCTGTAACTAGAAAAAGTAGGAAGGAAGTGAGCACCACTTCGTGCCACTCAAGACAGTCATAACTGACAATAAACTTGCACTCCTCTTAAAACACAAATTAATCTAACACCAGAACTGCATTTTCTGTGCAGCCTGACACTGAACTTCCAATTCTGCTCAAGAAATGTGATTTTTCTCCTCCAGACCTCTTACCTTTCCTGGGCTGTCCCGTGGCACTGATGGCCTGTGTGTGATAGTGGCCCTGCTTGTTCTGCACACACACCAAGTGAGAGTCTGCTTCAGTATT